ACCAGTGGTACGGGTACCACCTGTGGTACATTGGCACCTGGCAGGTGGTACGCGACCATCCTAGAAAAGTGGTAGCTGGGGAGGGAAATGAGCTGAACCAGTGGCAGCACCATATAAGCCTGAGCAAGAGATGGCTGGAACTGCAGGACTGTCAGGGCTCAGTGGAAGCGCCAGGATCAGCGCCAGACTCCAGCTGGAGCTCGGTGCTGATCCTGGCGCTTCTGCTGAGCCCAGAAGAAGCACCAATCAGCTGGAATGTTGCAGCATCTCCAGGGTCTTGTGATTTACGTTCAGATGCTTGGCAACTGATTCATAATTATGACGGTCACAGTGTCCTAGGGTCATGTGAAGTGACCAAAACCTGCTGCAACCACTCAGCAGATGGGGGGAATAAGAACCAAACACCCCCCCACTCCACCCCCATTGCCAATCCTCAACAGAAATGCTCACAATAATGAAAACCTCAGACAGGAGGAAGAGCGCCGCTAGGTGGGCAGGCAGGTGTCTTGCTCGGCACTTTTTTCAGTGCCATTGTAACTTCGAATAGTCACTAAGCAAACTGTTGTAAGTCAAGGACTACCTGTACTTTATCACTTTTTTCCTTTTTTGGGGGGGGTCATCAAGTTTTTGACACCTTGCTAGGCGACAGGTGGTACTCGAATGTTGCCATATCCTAAAAGTGGTACAATGGGTGAAAAGGTTGAAAAGCCCTGGCTTAGGCCACACCCTTAGCAATTGCTCCTTTTATTTTTCTCCATAGTCACAGAGAGACTTCCATGGCTGAGAATGGATTAAAACGTGGCTCTTCCTGGTTCTTAGCTATAAGGAAGGTCCATGCGTCTTTTTTTTTTTTCAGACAAATAAAAAAAATTTGATTTTGGCTGAAGATGTTGTACGAAGTAATGCAGCCACTTTGCAGGAATTGACTTTACTCTTCGTAAGATAAATACTGGCTGAATTGCACAACACAGTAGATTAGGTTAAAAGGAAACTGATACCCATTGAATTATCATACGGTATACATCAAGCCCATTGCATTAAACCATGGTATTACTTATTTCTTGGAGAACAATTCTTCTCTTGGAGCATAACTGAGTAAATACAAAAACTGTGCTTTGTTTATCAGGAGTAAAGTGTTGTACGAACCTAGGAATTTCTTCATAGACCAGAACAGATCCTACACGCTAAACCCTAAATCCTAGTGAGCAAAATACAATTGCTATGTTTGCATAACGGGATATGCTCAAACAAACGTGTCATACTTGTATGATGGCCTGGTCATACAACCTACTAAGATGATGCCCACATTTCATTTTATTTATGTATGAAATCAAACCTAGAGGCTGCCTCAATCATTTTTGCAACTCTAGATAGTTTGCAGAGTATAAATAATTAAAACACACACACACATACGGGAATAATAATAAGGATAAAACATCCATATCAAGAAAAACAGCAGGTATGGTTACAAAACCATACAAAGCATCCAACACAGAGAGATCACAATCCACTCATCCCAGGACCTGCTGAAAAAGCCTTATCTTCAAGGCTTTAAAAAACACAACAGGGCTGGGATTGAATAGATTTCAGAAGGCTGCTATGTCAGAAAGCTGGAGGGGCCACCAAAAAGATACGTCTCCAAGATGACGTAAGATGGTAGAGCTTAGCCAATGAAGCGAACCCATCTCCCCATGTTAACGTTAATGGCAGAAACAAGCAGAGAGTCGCAGTCCCATAAGTATCCAGGCTTTTAAGCCTCTACATGATGAGCTAAATTACCTCATCCCATTTTATTAGTATTTAATTTGGCATGCCTTCCTATCAAAGGCCTTTCACGACTGCAAATTTTGGCAGTTAAAAAAGCACACAAAAGAGAAGTCAGACTTCCTTTTTTTGCAGCAGCAGTCATACTTTTCATACAGGTGCTCCTCGACTCACATCAGTTCATTTAGTGACCGTCTGAAGTTACAACAGCACTGAAAAAAATGACCTTCATGACCGTTTTTCACACACGCCGGAAGGCACGGCAAGAAGCAACGGATGGAAACTAATCAAGGAGAGAAGCAACCTAAGAACTAAGGAGAAACTTCCTGACAGTAAGAACAATTAACCAGTGGAACAACCTGCCTCCAGAAGCGGTGAATGCTCCATCACTGGAAGTTTTTAAGAAGAGACTGGACAGCCATTTGTCCGAAGTGGTATAGGGTTTCCTACCTGAGCAGGGGATTGGACTAGATGACCTCCAAGGTCCCTTCCAACATTATTATTATTATGGATCATCGCACAGTCAGCCAGATGTTCAGACTGGATTTGGCATTTTGTCTACCTATCGAGTCCTTACCCAGGACCTGGGATAGGCAGATGTGGATGTTTGATGGTATTACAGATATCGTCGCAGGATGGAAGCAGTTCCTAGTAAGGCCGCCTTTTGCAATTGACTAATAGCGAATTTGTCAATGCCAATGGTGTTCAAGTGGTGCTCCAGTTGTTTTGGGATTGCACCCAAGGAGCCTATTTATTATTATTATTATTATTATTATTATTATTATTATTATTATTGACGACCTTTGCAGCATCACCAGTCACATGATCAAAATTCAGATGATTGGCAGTTGACTCATATTTGCAGGGTTCTGGGGTCATGTGATCCCCTTTTGAGGGGGTCGTGTAATCCCCTTTTGACTTTGACAAGCAAAGTCAATGGGGAATCCAGATTCACTTAATAACTGTGTTACTAACTTAACAACTGCAGTAATTCACTTACCAACTGTGGCAAGAAAGGTTTGTAAAATGGGGCAACACTCACTTTACAAATGTCTCACTTAGTAACAGAAATTTTGGGCTCAATTGTGCTCATAAGTCGAGAACTACCTGTACTGAGGCAGTGTTCAACGTAAGAGTTTAGTGTATACAGAAGAATATATGAAGAAAGATTAAATGAAAGTTAAAGTACACTTTCATAGCCTTGCCTTGGCTTAGCTAGGATGTCCACAGTATAGAAATTTCCATTTGATTTGTGAAAAGAAAACCACAGAGAGTTTTATAATACATTAATTAGACCTCCAACAGCTACTCTTTTGAACACATCAATGGCCAGACAGATTTACTGCCCTTCAATTCCTGCCACTTGGTTCACAGCATTAATTAGCAGAGATGGTGGTTCAGCTGTTTGAGCAACTGCTAAGAAACAGAGCTTTTATTTCTTACTTGTGGCCAACCTTAACTTTTCACTTTTAAGGCTAATCTTACTTATTGTGTGAATCCAGCAACGAGGTAACCTCCAGTGTGTGGAAGACGTAACCAACTGGCACTTGTGATCCACACCCTGTCCCAGTTTGATAATGTATATCTGAAAAAGTGTTATGGTGTTAAAAATATCTATACCCTAAATCAGGGGTCTTCAAACTTGGCCCTTTTATGACTTGTGGACTTCAACTCCCAGAATTCCTCAGCCAGCATGCCACGCTGGCTGAGGAATTCTGGGAGTTGAAGTCCATAAGTCATAAAAGGGCCACGTTTGAAGACCCCTGCCCTAAATGCATGGCAAGTTAGCAATAATGGGAAATAAAATTAGCTTTTAGAAGTATAGATTTCTGCACTGGAGAAGGGGTTGGACTAGAAGATCTTCAAGGTCCCTTCCAACTGTATGATTCTATGCCCATCTAGAAAAATGACAAGATAAATGCTAGATGCTGTTTTAACACTTGCTCTTACAACGATGGAGGTACTTGATTTACAACATTGGTTGTTTCTCTCACTGCTGTTGGGCCGCAGATGGCTTGGCTTATAAGTTGTGCCACTTTTATTTTTCGTTTTGTCTTTCCCTTCAACACAACTGTAACAATATTAAAACCAAGCATCAGAAAAGGGCTTAGCAAGTGCCGTCCAGCCTCCTGATTATTTGAGCACCAGGGACAATACCGTTCATAGAAATGAAAGGAAAATTGTATATTTGTCATCCTGTTTAGTTAGGACAACAATCATCGGCTGAGCCACTCAACCTTTGTGCTGTATGCCTTTTTGGCTAATACGCCAGTGTTAATTTTCTATTATAAATTATGAATGGTCCCAGTTCTGCCTTTACGGAAAATGAGAGCTATTATCTAAAATGAATCACAAGAATTATTATTATTATTATTTACAAATGCCAAGTTAGCATCCAGCCAATTGACTTGCCAAATGACAGCGGCCTCTTATTTGATGTGGTGGCTGCTTTCCAAAGGAAAGTTCCCCTAATGGCTCTCTAAGAGCTAGTTAACCGCGGAGAACCAAAATAAAGGTTTTAGAAACAAAGCAGAGCTCTGCTTATATTTAAAACCAACGAGTAGCAAGCAATTGTTCCATCTTGGAGGTGATAACCCTCATTACAAAGAGAGGCTCCATATTGCTCTATTGCAGTGGTTCTCAACCTGTGGGTCGGGACCCCATTTGGGGTCGAACGACCATTTCACGGGGGTCGCCAAACAACCCAGTCCGCCATTTTTTTCCCCCTTTTCCTTAGCTGTGCTACTCCCTTTTATTCTATTGGCTTTTGAAAGCCAATAGAATAGACTCTCTTCAATAGAGTCTAATTCTATTGGCTTTCAAAAGCCAATAGGAATTGTCCAGGCTGTCCCTGCCCTGCTGAGCCCACCAAAAGTCCCATTCTGCAAACGGTGCTGCACCAATTGAGTAGTCCTCGACTTACTACTGGTTGAGTAGTCCTCGACTTACGACCGGTTGGGGGGGTCGTGGCATTAAAAAGGTTGAGAACCACTGCTCTATTGCCATGATGGAAGCCCACCACATGGCATGCTGCTTTGGAGACCCTCAAAGCCTTCCTCGCCTTACACAGAGACATTTAATCACGGTAGTCGGAATTGCATGAAACACACAAAGACCCGCTGCTCTTATGAATTGAGCGGACGCTTTGGTTGCGTTAAGGCTGAAGGAATTTAGGACAACCTAGGGTTGCCACAGTGCAAGAAGGGTTCACATCTTTGGCTGATTTGGGCTGGTACCTTCTCCGTTTTTATTCGGATTGCTGGGCGTCGTGAGTGGCTTGAGCAGAACGATGATTTCATCCACCTTGGTCCCATCTTCGGAATGCTTCTCAGAGACGTGAGACAGCAATTCGGACTGGCTGGGAGAAAATAAATTACACAGCTTACACATGAAGATGGATCTGTTCCCTGGAAAACATAAAACAAAAAAACCAAGTTGGTTATTATTAATTTTTTTAATTGGGAGAGTTCGTTCGGGAATCTACTATAAAGTTACACAGTTAACTTACGACCCACAACGGAGAATTTTGGTTGCAAGTCGTGTCACTACGTGACTGGACTCCATTTTACAGTTTCACAACAGTCATTAAGCAAGTTGCTGCGGTCGTTAAGCAAATGAGCCGAGGTGGCGCAGCAGTTAGAGTGCAGTACTGCAGGCCACTTGAGCTGACTGTGTTCAGCAGGTCAGCGGTTCAAATCTCACCGGCTCCAGGTTGACTCAGCCTTCATCCTTCTGGGGTAGGTAAAATGAGGACCCAGATTGTTGGGGGCAATGTAAATATATATATATATATATATATATATATATATATATATATATATATACATACATACATACATACATACATTGCTTACTGGTGTACACCGCTTAGAGAGTGCTCGCACTTAAAGCGGTATATAAGTCAAATAAATAAATAAATCATAGGGTCACAAATCCAAATCCAGCTTATCCGGTAGGCGATTTTTGCCAGAAAATGGCAAAAAAAAAAAAATATCACAAAATATAATAAGAAGATTGCAGGACACTACAATTGGTCATAAATGTAAGCTGGTTGCCAAGCGAATATGGGAGATGATACAGCAAATGCTAACTTTGAGAATGGACTGAGAGTCACTTTTTGGAATATGTTGCAACTTCAAACAGCAATAGCAATAGCAATAGCAATTAGACTTACATGTTGCCCCATAGTACTTTATAACACTTTCTGGGCAGTTTACAATGTCAGCGTATTGTCCCAAACAATCTGGGTTCTCATTTTACTGATCTAGGAAGGATGGAAAGCCGAGACAATCTTGAGCCAGTCAGGATCAAACTCCTGGCAGTGAGCAGAGTCAGCTTGCAATACTGCATTCTAACCACTGCACCACCGGGGTTCCAAACGGTCATTAAGGGACCAGTCGTAAGTCAAGGATTACTGGTATTTATTTATTTATTTATTTATTTATTTATTTATTTATTTATTTATTTATGGGACTTATATACCGCTTTAAGTGCAAGCACTCTCTAAGCAGTGTACACTAGTAAGCAATGTATATATATATTTACATTGCCCCCAACAATCTGGGTCCTCATTTTACCTACCCCGGAAGGATGGAAGGCTGAGTCAACCTTGAGCCGGTGAGATTTGAACCGCTGACCTGCTGAACACAGTCAGCTAAAGTGGCCTGCAGTACTGCACTCTAACTGCTGCGCCACCTCATGGTATACCCATGCATCTACCTTGAATGGGGAACTCCGCCTGGTGATCTCAGAAATGTAGGCCAGATGAGCAACTTTGGGTGGGAAAAAAACATCCCAGAAGCAACAACGTGAAAGTGGTTTATCCTTTTTCTAGGATGTCCCCACCACCAAATTCCTAGTCTGGCCTAATCTCCGGGATTTCCTGGTGGTCTCCTATCCAATCACCACACAAGCTAATCTGGTTTATCTTTTAAAAAATTTTTAAAACGTTTAGATAAGTGCTACTATCTGATGTACTTAATAATAATTAGGCTCAACAATTAAACACTGAGCGTCCATTTAAAGTTTTAACAGACCTTTCAAAAGATACATATTCCAAAATTTCGGCAGCCACCACCACACCATCCTGTCATAAGATTGCATTTTGGACATTTGGCAACCAACTCATATCTAGAGCCATTTGCAGTGTCCCAGAGTGACATAACTGTGATTTGTGATGTTTATTTATTTATTATTTATTTATTTATGAGACTTATATACCGCTTTAAGTGCAAGCACTCTCTAAGCGGTGTACACCAGTAAGCAATGTATATATATATATTTACATTGCCCCCAACAATCTGGGTCCTCATTTTACCTACCTCGGAAGGATGGAAGGCTGAGTCAACCTTGAGCCGGTGAGATTTGAACCGCTGACCTGCTGAACACAGTCAGCTAAAGTGGCCTGCAGTACTGCACTCTAACTGCTGTGTCACCTCGGCTCCATTTTCTTTTTTGAAGAAGAAGGGCATTTTTTTTCAGTTTCTATCAAAAACCACCCATAGCAACCAATAGAACACCAGTGTTCACTTTAGTGACTGCCACATTTGCTTAAGAATCATTGCAAAGCACAGTTGTAAAAATCAGGTTAGTCACATGATGACTTGCTTTCCGACCGTCGTGTCTTATGACCATAATTGCTGGGCTCAATTATTCCACTAACTGAATAAATAGGAAGGCAGGTAGTCCTTGACCTATTACTATAATTGAGCCTGGCAATTAGGGCCAAAAATTGAGGACTACCTATATTCTTATTCATCCAATTACTGGAATGATTAAATCATGCAGGATGACTGCTTGACATTTGGTTTTGAAGACTGTGGTGACGAGTAAACAAGCAGAAGAGAGACGAAAGAAGGAACTTCTGTTTCAGAGCATGAAGTGGAGTCAAGACATCACCTGTCAAAACTAGATTTTTTTTTTTTACTTGTTATCCCACAGAATCTTATCCCATCTTCAGTCTATTTAGGGCCCTGCCTCTAAATTCCGAAAAAGAAAAGCCAAAGTGCTTTCTTTACAAATTTGCTGCAAAATCTGAAAAAAAGTGAAATTATGCTACACACTGCATAAATAATTATTGCTGCTATTAATAATAAAGTTGCTGCTGATCTCTGTAGCATCTGAATAAATATGTGAAATGTAATGGATAAATCAGCTGATAATTAGGCTGGGAATCTACAGGACAATAAATGAAAGAGCCAATTAAAGGTAAAGAATCAAATAACCAGTATTCCAAATTAAGCATGAATGGAATTGATGAGGAGGCCGTGGGTAATTAATTAGGAGGGAAGTCAACAGAGCAATTAATTAGACAAAGAATTAAATATGCAGAGAATCCAAGAAGCTGTTAATCAATTAAGTATGCAGATACGCTAAGGAGACATAGAACTGGCGAAATATTTCAGCTGGCTGTACGCAATCTTCTTGTAGCCTACAAACCTAAAACCTTATTTACTATTCCAGACAACTTTCTTATGACATGAAAGCTTTTGGAAAATAAATCTAATTATCTGCTATCGTTATTTCTGTATTATCATAAGATTTGTCTAACTAGAGCAACAACTGTGGCAAACGTGTTAGAGAAGAAACGTCAGTGAACAGAGTGTGACTCACTTCGGTGTAAAGATGGACACAGTTGCCCTGTGTCATCTCATACAGAATAACAGAATTGGAAGGGACCTTTGGAGGTCTTCTAGTCCAGCCCCCTGCTCATGCAGGAGACCCTACACCAGGGGTAGGCAACTTTGGCTCTTTTATGACTTGTGGACTTCAACTCCCAGAATTCCTGAGCCAGCCATGTAGAGGGGAAAGGGAGAGGTTTCCAAGTTGACCCATGCTGGCTCAGGAATTCTTGGAGTTGAAGTCCACGAGTCATAAAAGAGCCAAGGTTGCCTACTCCTGCCCTACATTATTCCAGATAAATGACTATCAGGTATCTTTTTAAAAATCTCCAGTGATGAAGCACTGACAACTACTAAAGGCAAGCTGTTCCACTGATTAATTTTTCTCACTGTTAGAAAACTTCTCTTCAGTTTTGGATTGCTTCTCTCCTTGATTAGTTTCCATCCATGGCTTCTTGTTCTGCCTTTTGGAGCTTTGACAAATAGGTTGACCCCCTCGTCTCTGCGGCAGCCCCTCAAATATTGGAACAGTGCTACCAGAAGGAAGCTGCAGCCACTGAACCAAGATCAATATCATTCAGACTCTCATTTCACAATGAACCAATACAACAGTAAAGATAATTACAATAATAAAAAAAATTGTCGGTAAGAAAGAGTAACTGTTGATAAGATAGACCAGTGGTGGCGAACCTATGGCATGGGTGCCAGAGGCGGCACTCAGAGCCCTCTCTGTGGGCACGCGCGCTGTCGCCCCAGTCCTAGGCCTTCATCTGGGTTTTATAAAACCTTTTCGCTGTAGGCTTCCAGCGCCGTGTACAAAAAAAAAAGGTTCAATCAATCAGTCAATTTCAACTTCTTGTGGGAAAAAAAAAAGATCTTGCAAAGTTGGAATTGATTGATTAAACTTTTTAGTCCCACCCAGTCTGCTGTTACCACCACAGCCACACCCACCCAATGGGCCACGCCCACCCGGCACCCGACGATGCATAAGTGGGTTTTGGGTTGCAGTTTGGGCACTCGGTCTCTAAAAGGTTCGCCATCACTGAGATAGACCAACGGATCACTGGATAGTGGACGTGGCAGTGCCTGGAGGTAACAGAATGGAAGAGAAAGACCTCGAGAAGATAACAAAATACATAGACCAGGGGCTCCCAACCTTTTCTAAACCCTGCACCCCTAGAACGCTTCTGATATATTCTCGCACCCCTTACAAAAGTTCGAAATAACGGCAACAAATTATGCTTATACACTATAATTTTGAAAACCCAACTTTTCACACCCCCTGGAATATCGTCTCGCACCTCCAGGGGGGTGGGAACCCCTGACACAGACCTACAAATAGAAACAGAACAATTGTGGCGAAAGAAAGCAAAGTTGAAGCAATAGTAATAGCCGTTTTAGGAAAAATAGGGCTGTACATGGATGTCCCTGACTAAAGTGCAATTGTTAAGAAAGAAACCCAGGTGTGAAAGGAAGAGGTGCAACATATTTTAAGGGTGTCTTGTCTTATCGAATGTATGCACCCCTATATAAAGACTTGATCAGCTCCTTAATAAAATGCTGAGGACTTCAGAATTCAAACAGAGAAGCATCTGCCCCATAACACATCATACTTAACAATTGTCAATAAGAAAGACAAAAAGTCTGGATAGTGGACGTGGCAGTACTTGGAGACAGCAGAAGAGAAGAAAAAGAACTGGAAAAGATAACAAAATACGAAGACCTGCAGACAGAAATAGAACAGCTGTGGCAAAAGCCAACAAAGGTAGTACAAAAGTAAGAGGCAC